TATCCTTTGCGAACGTCACCGCCGAGGCAAAAGCATCGATTATTTTTGTAAAATAAGGGTGAAAGTTGATTTGGAGACCTGTTCGATCTATTCGTGCGCAATAGGACACTTTGGCGATTCAAACCAGACATACTATCAAGAAGGTGCTTCTGACTGCAGATCAGAAATTGTCTCGAAATTCCGTAAAAGGGGTGCCCTGACTTCATAACCTTCGATCAGTGACCACTCTGGAGCCTGACCTAAGTCCCATGGATGTCTCAGTGTGGTCAGCCTTTGAGATGAGAGCATCCGTTAGCCCAAACATGAAGTGAAATAATCTCGAAAATACCTTGCAAGAAGCTGTGATCATCTCGACGACCTTAGCTACGTGCCAGCGCTAATGTTGTCCATCATCGTCTGTGGGGTTGGGTGAAAGTAGAAAGCGACAGATCCCAGTCTCAATGTACTATTTTGATAAGAGATTAGTGATAAACACTTTTATGAAATTGGTTTGCTTTTTTAGCTTTCTATTCGTTTTCGGGGATGTGATGTCTGTGTAATCATAATTTTGGCCCACCCTGTACATTAAGTCGTAGGAAAAATGGTCCAAAATTTGAGGTATTAACAGTATGGAGTAAATTTGATGGGTAGGTTGATTGGACGATAGCGATAAAGCATAGACTATAACATACACTTCGCTTCAAGGAATCCGGTCAATCCACAGTCATCATTAACGGGCTTACACGTGGCTAGCCAGAGGATCATGAACAAACTTTATTCTGCTGTAAAGAATGAAATTGATGAAACATACACGGAGTGAGCTCTTTGGTGCTGTGCTTCCTTCTGCCGTAAAATCGCCCTGCCTGCTTTGTATTATAGAGTTGCTAAGTGATTCTGCTTGTAAGCTAGTGCGTGAGAGAGCTAGTCATCCCGTTTTGTTCCCTTTCCTTGGTTCACAGCGATTTTTCGTGGGCTTGCGGTGGAACTGTAGATGACCATTTAAGAGGATATTTGTTACAGAATACTCGCTCAAAACGCCAGATAACGTGGTTGTCTGTTTCAAAACCGACTGTGCTTTCGCCATATATGTTTTCTCCAGTGTTCGGGCTGACCGTTCTGGGACCAGTGGTAAGCGTACCGAATAACCTAATATGGTGATCAAACATACATTTGTATTTTCAAGATAAACCAGTTCTATAATAGGTTCTCGCCTTCAGGTTTTGTCGCCTTCGTTATTCTCTCCGCTTCTACTCAACCCGGCAGTTCTATCACCATATGTGCTATCGCCCGCTGTCGGCATGCCATTCATAATCTCTCCGTACCTATTGTCGCCCTACGTGCTATCTCCTTTAGTGATGGCTCCATTTATTCTGAATCCATACGTCCTTTCACCGAATGTTATTAATCCTTACGTGCTTTCACCATTGATTCTTAGCCCTTTGGTTCTTTGTCCTGATCTCGTCTCTCCAATGGTTCTCGGTGGTTCCATCCTTTCTCCTGGTGTTCTCTCACCGTCTGTGCTTTCTAAAAGCTTCTTGATGGTGTCTGTACTGTCTCCTACTGTTCTTTCATGATTTAAAGCCCATAATAAGCGAGCGATATCTAATAATTTAGGAAAAATGCTCGCGAGTCAGTAAGCAATGATTGGTTCGCTATACATTTCATATTAAGAGTACAGCAGCACACTTTTCTTGTGGTGATTTTGTGATATAACTCCTGTGAATGCCTTAAAACCATCGCAGTTTTCGAACCTTCCCATGAAGAATGAGCCACTGAAAGTGGCGTTGATATTTATGAAATGCGCCACGCAATCTACTTAGAATAAACACCCAACTAATGGTTGAATGCAAGTGGTCGCGCTTCCAATTCTGCGAAACATACTTGTTCCTACCGTATTCCTTGGGTAGCCTAGCTGACGCTGATTCAGGTATATTTTTGTTGTTTTTTGTCACTTCTTATGGTTCTTGCGCCGCTCCACTGTGCGTCGCGGTTTGCAACCCTTTCATGTTTTTATGGTACGTAGGAAAAAGTCAAAAACTTCAGTGCAACGATTACCTTCAAGTTTTCTTATGTACAGAGGGAAGTACTAATTGTGCAACTGCTGCAATTTTCATTTGAAAATACAGCCATCTGCCTCCAATTTCATGATCGTATTCGCTAATGACACCCAGCCACATAAGCCCCTCATTTCGACTGGTGATGCTATGAATACTAGGATGTGTGTGGGGAACCTGAAGTCGGTAGACAACCCAGCCAGAACCAGTTATCTTCTCTCTCGATGCTTTTTGTGATGTTGATCCCAGCAATAAGGTGCATTAAACAACATAAAGTGCAATAAAGTTTTTATATTTCGTATGCTACACATATTCAGCACCTCACTACATATCTGGCCCTCTTCTGCATCGTTTTCGTACCTGAAGATGATTATTGAAGAAATAAAAAATGCAACAACGAAATGAAAAATACTTCATCATTAAATCCTTTGCCCTTTGTAGGGATTTGGTGCAGAAAAAACTTTACTTTTTGGATTTATGACCCTACACTTGGCATCGCGAATGAGCCTATTTTTATCTATTGGGAATGTTTAGTCCTATTTTCTTGACCATTTCTCTTCCCCACCCCCATCACACTTATTTGAGTGCGTTCTTGCCCAGGCAGTGCTGGATGGTCTGACAAACTCGACTGAGCCCCTACACGTTTATTGAACACTCATGAATGAAAAAGACAGAGGTCAGATAAAAATAAGTCGACAGCTGGATTTCCCATTGACTTTGGAATACACCCACCGAATTATTGAGCAAGAATTGCAATGTTTGGCTGAAAATTAGAAGGCCAGACTGGTTGGATAGTTTCCGCTTCTTCCTGGCTGCCAGTCTGTCATAGTAGAAAAAGGGTGTGGTCGTGCTGTTGCCCACTCACAATCAGAAAGAAGTTATCTGTGCGTTCGTATGCTCTCACTAACATCAGACCTCGGAGTCTTCTGTTCGACACAGTAAGGGTGATACAATATTATGGACCCATGAAACGCACCAACCTTAAAAATCATTCATTGCACCTCAGGCTCAAGGGACGCTCCGAAAAGATTTATGAATCTTTCGATCTGCTATTTTTCGGCAGAACGTGGCCTATGAATCGTTGTACAAGGTCATTCATTATTAAGAAGCCTATTCATTGCTATATATTTGAAGCTTCCAACAATCACTCTGAAGGAATCACAAACAGGGACTTGAAGAATCCTATGGCGGTTCTTTTCGCCCCTCACTTAGCCGAACCACTTTGCTCGTATTGTGCTTCGGGGCTCATCAGTGAATAAGTTACAGTTGAAATTATTGAATATGTAAGGAATATACAAAGGTAAGTGCTATGGTTGAGAGGTTAGGCATAGGTAAGGCAGGGATATAGAAATAATGAAACATTGAATAATGAGTATGAGAAAGAAGATGTGGACGATAGGTTGTTGTACTACAATCATTTCTTTGCTGATAGCTCGTTAAGTATTGTGTGCTATTCGGCAAACAAGTCACTGGTTAAATTTCGAGATCTACAAAATTGGCATTTATGCAACAGCTGTACATTTTACAATATTGGCTATAATAAACATTTCTGCATTCAACTTGAACCAATTGTTCCATCATTTCTTCACTTTTTAAGTGAAGAGTAGTGAAGTACACGTGTTAGCTGCCTTAAGAGTCTCGGGATAGATGATCGGCGCCTTAATTGATTAGTGATATTAGGTTCGCCATGTGGAAATCTGATGACCTTGCAGTAGAGGTAATCGATTGCTAAATGATGTCGTAATTATTTTAGGAAAAATTATATATATTTTTACCAGTCGGGCCGCCCGGCTAACGCCAGGCTTCCCTCCTTCTTATGGTGTCGCCCGGCTTCGCCGGGCACTCCTCCTTCTTGTAAGAAAATTGCTTTCCATGAAAGCTCCACACCCCCAGCATTAGCTCCGAATTGGGAGCGATTTTTTCTGTATTGTAATTAATTGTATGCTAATGAGAAGTCTCGATTCATTGCT